TAATTATAGAGGCTGACAAATCCTAAGTTCCACAGGATGAGTTGCCAAACTCAAGACCTAGGACTGTCAATGATTTAGTTCTAGTCTGAAGACCAACAGGCTTGAGACCCATGAACAGTCAGTGTTTCAGTTTGAGTCCCAAGGAAGGAAAAAAGCTTATGTTCCAGTTCAAAGGCTGTCAGATAATAAGGGTTCTCTGATCAGGGAGGGTCAGCCTTTTTGTGTAGTTAGGCCTTCAGCTCATTGGATGAGGTCTACCCACATTAGAGAGCAATCTGCTTTACTCGTCTGCCAATACAAATGTTGGTGTTTCTGTGGGATGTTTTAAAAATTAAGAATGATAGACTGAATAAAGAAAATGTGGTACATGTACACCATGGAATACTATGCAGCCATAAAAGGAATGAGATCATGTCCTTGCAGGGACATGGATGAAGCTGGAAGCATCATCCTCAGCAAACTAACACAGGAACAGAAAAGTACTTCATGATCTACTCATAAGGAGGAGTTGAACAATGAAAACACATGGACACCGGGAGGGGAAGAACACACACCAGGACCAGTTGGAGGTTGGGGGGTGAGGAGAGGGAGACAACTAGGACAAACAGCTAATACATGCAGGGCTGAAAACCTAGATGATGGGTGCATAGGGTGCAGCAAACCACCATGGCACATGTATACCTATGTAACAATCCTATACGTTTTGCACTTGTATCCTGGAAATTAAACTAAAATTAAACAAAGTAGGCAAAGACATGAAGAGACAGTTTTAAAGTCAAGAGACAATAGCTGTTGACAAGGCTGTGGAGAAATAGGAACACTTTTACACTGTTAGTGGGAACGTAAATTAGTTCAACCATTGTGGATGACAGTGTGGCAATTCCTCAAGGATCTAGAACCAGAAATACCTTTTGACCCAGGAATCCCATTACTAGGTATATACCCAAAGGAATATAAATCTATTTGCAGCACTATCTAAAATAGCAAAGACATGATCCAACCCAAATGCCCATCAATGATAGACTGGGAGGTGTAGGTAAAATAACCACAGAAATGGACATAAACTATTTCAACTTGTGATTATACAAATTTTTAAGCAAAAACAACTTGAAAAAAGTAGTAGAATGCAAATTTACAATGTGAACAACATTTGTATTTAAGTGATTTTCTTTGTATAGCCTAGATTTTTATATTAAGATTTTATATAATAGCAATGATTAACCAAAGAAAAGTGTTTATATTGGTTAGGCCAATACCCAAGGGGTTTTTCGCACCCTTTTTTTGTAACCTCTCTTCAGTATCCCTCTTGGCATCCTTGAGTACCTCTGGCCCAGGGGAGGATTGTCAGAGACCTGGGGCCAGCCAAGAGCCCAGAAGCGGGGAGGTGGGAATAAGTCTGTATTCCGGTCCTTAGAGGTAGAATGTGATGGGTGTAGTGGAGACTGTTCCCAAGAGGGTAACTAAATGTCCAAATGGAAGTGTGCAGGCTTCTCTGTGCCACCCTTGGGAAGTAATTGGCTGTTTTCTAACCAAAAAAAAAAAAAAAGCAGACAAGAAATTGAAGAGATCAGTGGCATTGCCTCCCCTTGACAGTCAAATTTGTTCCAGCATCCACACCAGAGATGACCACTGTTAAGAAACAGAACCCAGAGCTCTACAGACAATACCCCAGTAAGTAAGTACATTCCAGAGAAGGGGCCAAAGTTATTGGAAGCAATCTCAAAGTTTCAGAAACTATATTTGCTTTTTGGTCCATCTAGGTCCTTTCTCACAGATCTAGTCAAAAGTAGAGAAAATAAGTTGAGTATAAACTGCCTGAGATTGAATCAAAGGAGAAGAGGAGCCCCAAGGTGGAAGGCTTGGTTGCCTAGTATTTCTTCAGAACAGGAGAGAAAAGATTGGACTATTCCAGCCTGATCAGTCTTCTTGTCTTCTGCTTCACAGTAAGGCAGCCTTCTCTGCTGACTTTATTCTCACACTATTGGCAGGTCTCTTCAATTGATTATATCCACATTAAAGAGGCTAACCACACCATGGGAAAAAATAAAGTCAAAGGTCATATGAAATAGCACTCTGTCTGAATCCTGTGGAATGGGTCAAAGAACAGGGAGGAAGAGCAGGTAAAAAGAACACAGCACCCATTCAGAGGCCAGGCATCGTAAACCTTGGCTTTCTCTGTATATACACACACACATTTACAAACAGCTCACTTAATACATGAAGGAACTCCAAGGTAGTTATTGCTCCCCTGAATTCTACAGACCAGAAAACAAAATAAACACTTTATATTGTCTAATGTCACAGAGCCAGAAACAGTAGAGTTAGTATTTGAACTTAATCTAATCCATGCTTGTCACCACAACAATCTTTCAATATCCTTGGACTCACCATCAAAATGCCTCTCCCAGGGTTTGTGGGCATGTTACCAGTGTCCAGGTAAGGATGCCTTCAAGTGGGCTGACACAGAAAATATTTCTCTGGGGTGCTCTAGGTGCCACAACCTAGTTCAGATCACCATTTAAGATGCCAATAGGGTATATGTATATGTATATGTATGCACACAATAACAATATGTTCAACTTTCTCTTGTCCCAGCTTTCTCTGGACACTTTTTGTGATGAGTAGCCACTGTTGACTTACCCTCACATTGAGCAATTGGATTCCTTTCTGCTTTAGGATGATGGTCCACTACAATTTTCGAGAAGATGTTAGGGATTCTCCTTTTATATATAAAATTGCACATTGACTAATGTTCATCTTGGATCCCTGTTCCATTCATACAGTTCCTATACTTTTACAACACCTCCTAAATCTAAGATGTCCTATGTAACAGAAACACAAGGAAATCGCTCTAATATATTCCCATATTAAACAGCAAGAATTCAGGGAAGGGCAGGTGCTGTCATGTGCCAAGAGCTTCACACTCATCTCATTAGTTCTATATACTTATCCTTTGCAATATTCTCCCCACTTCACATATAAATAAAAGGGAGGCAATAGGTTAAGCAGTTTGCCCAGGGTAAGATGAAGGTCTGGAAGGGAAATCTGGCTTGTTAGTAGCAAGTCAGTGTCCTGAGCAGCTGTGTGGGACTGCCTTCCAGGACCTCCTTTCCTTTCCCAACTTACCCAATGAATCCAAAAGAAATGACTGTATATGAATTATAACTTATTTACTTATTGAAGAATTAGAGTCACTAAAGAATCAGTTAATATGGAAAAACTCATCAACCATTAAGTTCACAAAATTTTCATATTTCTATTTAGCACTCAGTCAATGCCTGACCAAATGTTAACTCATAAAAGCATAAACTGAATGTCGGAGCCTGAATTAAGGAGCCATGACTCTGCACAGGAAAGTTTCTTGTGCTTATTTGCTATGGAAGTGTAACTGCTATTTAAATTTTAGATAAATTGAAATGTGCATGTGCTTGTTTGAGAAAATTTGGGGGAATGTGGCAACTATGGCGTCTCTTCCCCCTTACCCACCCACTTTGGTATAGACTAGAGATACCAAAGAAGGGTGATCCGGGTTAAAGGCCTCGAGGGATATAAAATTTCCCTAGGTAAAAACCAAAGAGGTAGTGAAACTTAGCAAAAATGTGTGGTGTCATGGGACTTGCTGACTAATGGTAAGAATGGTCAGGAGGGCAGGCCTGAGACAGAGGACATGTCAGACCCTGATTCTCAACCTTCAGGATGTGAACAATAGGATTCCTTGCTAGACTTTTAGAAGCATCTGAAGGACAGAGGGCAAAAAATAGACAAGGGTTTTTATAAACTGATCTTCCTGTCTCCTCACAAGGAGGCCAAGAAGGATGTGGTCGGGCAGAAGGGTCTTGCTGACTGTCATATCAGTCCATTCTCTTTTAATCCCTATTAGATGGACAAAATATCTAGTAAAAGTTGCCCAAAGATATATTTCTTTTTTATCTCAAATTATAGGTGATATTAAGATTCTGGCCAGGAAAACTTATAGATCCTGTCCTTAGAGTAAACAGATCCTGTCCTTAGAGTAAACATTTCTTAAAAACTCATATCCGTTTTCATTTTGTTTAACCATCAAGTCTGGGCAACTTTAAGTGTGAGTGGATCATGAGGTCAAGAGATCAAGACCATCTTGGCCAACATGGTGAAACCCCATCTCTACTGAAAATATAAAAGTTAGCTGGGTGTGGTGGCACATACCTGTAGTCCCAGCTACGTGGGAGGCTGAGGCAGGAGAATAACTTGAAACCCGGGAGGCGGAGGTTGCAGTGAGCCAAGATTGCACTACTGCACTCTGGCCTGGTGACAGAGCAAGACTTTCTCAAAAAAAGTGGGTCCTGTGCTAAATATCTTTGATCAACTAGATTTGACAATCTGAACAAACTAATGTTAAACCCATTCAGAGAAAAGGTAATGTGCTTCCTTAGTACATTTACCATAGCACATTTTCTCTTTACATTTTTGGCAGGTTTTGATATTTTTATAACCTTATTTTAAAAGCTCTTGATCATTTTTGAAGGCATAATATAAAAAAGCACAAATCTCATCTACCCAAAATCAACAGACAAAAGCTGGGTCCAAATCTTCCTAGACAGTTTTCTATTTAAGGGTGTGTGTTTCTCTCTCACATGCATACACTTTAATACAATTAAACCATAGTTTAATCTGCCTCCTGCTATTCCCTGACATATTGTACTATGATGTGAACATTATACCAGGAAGTGCTTATCTTTTAAAATATCAATATAATCTAATTCACTGAATGGATGTAGTAGAATTTAAACAATGCTTTATTTGTGGGCACATTATTCCAACTTGACATTAGTAAAAAATTTGTTGCAAACATCTAATCAGTATGTTTTTTATTAGTGTTGCTATTGATCAGTGATAAGAGAAGCATATGCAGGCACTGGCTAAACACATTACATGGATTTACGTTTAACTATTACACGTAGAACTCTTTTGTATTTTGTTTCCTTCAGAAAAAGTTCCTTTGAGTAAAATTATGAGTTAAAAGGGATGCATAATGTTGGAGATTTTTACAGTGTGGTAGGGTGATTTAGTAAAAATCATGAGCATGCCTATTTCTACACTTAATAGCAGGTATTGTTATGGACAATTTATCTTATAAAACATGAACTGATTTTTTTTCAAGTTGACATTCAGAATTCTTCTTTATTATAGGCACCACCAGTCACCCTGGAAGGAAATGAGAATCTAGTCTAGAGTTCCCAGAAGCAGTATCACTCACAAGAGCAAAAATCTGAAACTAAGAGCTCCTGTCTCCTGGATCCCCAGGTCCCTGAATATGTTAACCCCTAATAATGCCTGCTCTGTGCCTACCTCTTTCCAGCTCACTGGCATCCCTGGCCTGGAATCCCTGCACATCTGGCTCTCCATCCCCTTTGGCTCCATGTACCTGGTAGCTGTGCTGGGGAACATGACCATCCTGGCAGTGGTAAGGATGGAGCACAGCCTGCACCAGCCCATGTACTTTTTCCTGTGCATGTTGGCTGTCATTGACTTGGTCCTGTCAACCTCTACCATGCCCAAACTACTAGCCATCTTCTGGTTTGGTGCCCATAACATTGGTGTGAATGCCTGTTTGGCCCAGATGTTCTTCATTCATTGCTTTGCCACTGTTGAGTCAGGCATCTTCCTTGCCATGGCTTTTGATCGCTATGTGGCCATCTGTGACCCACTGCACCATACCTCGTTGCTCACTCATGCTGTGGCAGGTCGTTTGGGACTGGCTGCCCTCCTCCGGGGGGTAATCTACATTGGACCTCTGCCCCTAATGATTCACCTGAGGTTACCCCTTTACCAGACCCAAATCATTGCCCATTCCTACTGTGAGCACATGGCTGTGGTCGCCTTGGCATGTGGTGACACAAGGGTCAACAACTTATATGGAATGGGGATTGGCTTCCTGGTATTAATCCTGGATTCATTGGCCATCACTGCCTCCTATGTGATGATTTTCAGGGCTGTAATGGGCTTGGCCACCTCTGAAGCCAGGCTTAAAACCTTAGGGACATGTGGCTCTCACATCTGTGCCATCCTCATCTTCTACATCCCCATTGCTGTTTCCTCTCTCACACACCGCTTTGGCCATCGTGTGCCTCCCCATATCCATATCCTTTTGGCCAACCTTTACCTCCTCATCCCACCTATCCTCAACCCAATTGTCTATGCTGTCCGCACCAAGCAGATCCGAGAGACTCTTCTCCATATTAAGGCAAGGACTCAAACCAGGTGACTGTTCTATATCTTTTTATTTTAGGTTCAGGAATACATGTAAAGGTTTGTTACATAGGTAAACTCATGTCACAGGGATATGTTGTACAGATTATTTCATCACGTAGGTATTAAACTCAGTACTCAATAGTTATCTTTTCTTATGGGGCATATAATACTTAGTCATGACAGGACAAAGCTCTAACTGGGGAATCCCATGAAATGTCTGGGTACTACCTGAACTTTGAGGATAAGAGTCTAAGAGCAATCCTAAAGTCTATTCCGTTTGATCATGGATTTTCTATACAGTATAGACCTAATATCTGAAAGTGAAGAAAATCATGGCATGAGTTTTGTACTACAATTCCCTGTTTAACTATAAAATTAAGCAACATAAGCATACAGGCCACAGAAAATAAGATAATTTTTATCCTTTACTTTTTTGGTATAAAACTTCATTCCTCTTTGTAGAATGTTATAAAGCAGAATTTCTAGAAGGCAGAATTATGTTCTAACATCTTGGGCAGTTTACAAATTCTGTTAGTAAAGTTCTGGAAAATCTCAACTGTTGACAAGCTTTTCCAACCTTTTGGCTTGCCCCAGAAAAGGCCTTCAGTTGAGCACAAAAATAATATAAGTATGAGAAATCTTAATAGGACTTGGAATGAGACCTTACCACCTGCAGGAATTAAAATCCTCAAACCAAGTCTTGCCCTATTTAGACAGATGAGTTTGCAATATTCTTTATCTCCTAATAATAGGGTTAGCTGAGAGCAGGGAAGAGTAGACAGAGAAGGGCATTAGAAGATTCCATTTCAGAGGCCCTGAGATTGGCATATCTGGTAGACAGGAGCCACACCAAAATAACGAAATGGCATAGAGGGAAGAAGGTAATGGGATTGTGAAGGGGGTTGGGGTAGCTGATAAGCCAAAGGTGATGAGAATAGATGGAAGTCCTGTGGTGCTTGTAAACTTTGAAATGCTTCCAGATCTCACTGGATAATTCTTGTTGCTACTTCTGAATTATGATTTGACCACTTTCATTATTCACTGATCACAAAGGTTCTGTAATGAGGCCTACTTCAGGCCAGAAACCTGCAGGAATTTTGTGGCAATGCATGACAAGCAGACAAGTAGAATGAAGCAGTCACTCCCAATCCTAGTGATCCAGAATTATGATTATGTACATTTTAGTTCTCAGATGTTTCCAATTTTAAATCATTTAACTACATTTACAAACAATAACATCTAAGAAGGCTAAAGTGACCGATTGTAGGTTAAAAATAAGTTGCTTTAGTGTTTTTAAAGACAAAATTCTACAGAAGCCAGTAATCAAACCGCAGCTAGCATATAAACTTAATATCACTCCCACGACCCCCACCTCTACCCCTGCCAAAAATGTAGGAAACTGTAAATGCATGAGCTCTTTTCTAAAGTTTAGTCTAAACCCCTGAACCCCTGACTAGTTCTAAATTTCTATGTCCTCAATCTATGCCTAACTCCAGGACCAAGTTGAGTCACATTTTAATTTTCTCTATTGTCTTGACATAAGAGGTGGTCATTCCTCTATCTTTTTCAAGGTCTCTGCAGTCCAATGTCTGAATCTAATATTGAGAGAAGATAGGCTTCTATGAACATAATTTTAGTGCCAAATGTAATCTACTGATTAGTATCTTTTCCTCAACTCCAAATAAAAGTCTGAGCCAGAAACTTAGTTTATAGATGATCTCCTAATCATAAGCCCAGGCATTGGAGAAGATGATATTCAAGTCCAGCAATAGCACTAGTGCTGAGGAAAGTGACCAGGAACTTTTGTCACAGGATATCTCCTTGGCATAATGCCTAAAATCTTTTTATACCATGTAAAGCAGAGTGTGCATATAGCATGAGGGCTCTTAAAACCTGGTCTTAATTCAAACTAGTAGGATTCGTATTACACTAAGAACTTTCTGAAAGAATAACCTTAGAAACCCCATACCAAAGTATTTTTCCCTGGATGGTCTGCTGGGTCTACCATAGACCAAGACCAAACACCAATCATCTCTAGTGTCTTCACATGGTGTTGAATGATAGCAGATAAAGAGAATATCACTTGTGCGTATGCTACTATTCCACCCAGGGACAACCACTCATGACAAGTTCTATTATACTTGGGGTATGAGCTGAAGCACATTACAGCATTTAGTCCCACTGTCAGCAGTAATCATGGGTAGGCCTTTTCATGCTGAAGGTGTTATCTCCAAACAGGATGGAAGGGAATATACACTGGAGAATGCATATTATGAAGATAAGACAAATAAGTCCAACAATTGAATCTCTTATTCAAAGCCAATGTCACATTTCCCTGTCACACAAATGTTTCTTTCCCATCACTAGCACTTAAAGTGGGAATAAAATACACTACCATCAGCCTCTTTTGAGTCTACAGGTCTTCACGGAAAAAGTAAAGATTGGGAGACAGTTGAGAGAGGAGGCATTGTTGTGATTTTATGTTCTTAACAGGTGGCTAAGAACCTCGGCTCTGAAATCAAAGAGCAGAGATGGACCCAAAACAGTATCTATCAGACCAGACATGTTGTATAATGTAAGCCTCAGTTTCCTCTTGAAAATGAAACTACTGGCAGCCCCTTACAGATTTTTTATAAGAATGTGATAACATAAAATGCTTCTATAGTACCTGGCACATAAAGAATAAAAACATGCCTCTTAATACTTACCATACACTAAAAGGCACTGGGGGGTTGGAGGTGATGATAATTGGAGAAGAGTAATTGGAACAAGTTCCAGGAAAGGCCAGAGAATGTTCTCATCATGACTTATGAATGTACTGACCTCGGCTTTAGAAAGCTCCCTCCATTTTGCTTCTCTGCAGATAGTTGTATAAACAAAGTCAGCTTTTCTCTGCTCCCCTTGGCTGCCTGGCACCCACTCATGTACCTCTGAGGCTTTTCAACTAGAGTTACACCCACCTAATCAGCTCTATGTTGGTAAAAACAAAACACCCCTAGACAATTCCTTGTAAAACAAGCATAAATCTTATAGCCACAGACCCAGTTATGTAAAAATATAATTGGCTTCAGGTTTTTCTACATCAGCCAGAATGGGTCTTTGAATAAACATAAAATGAATCATAGATGACAGCCACATTCTACCAAATCCAATTAACATTGATCTTAGTCAATTCCAGTTTATAATTCATTCTGATACAATTTTCAAAACTCCCCCAGGAGTTTTCCTGTCACCTTCCTGTGTTAGATTTAAAACTGCAGTAGAGGATGAAGTGGGATTTTACCAAATTGTCACAAAGGAAGTCACATGAAAGAGGAATGCCTTCTGCTTATTGTTCCTTGTCTGGCCTTTGACCCAGACATGTCTTGTTCTGCAACATATGACCAACACAAACCAGTATTATGTCTTCAGTGTTATAAAATAAACTAATCTCCTTTTTAGGAAATATCATCGACTACTTTTGTTTTCAGCAACTAGAGAAAGTAAGTTCACATGGAACAAATAGCCCAAGTGTCCAGTTATGTTACTAGCAATGATGAGTTGGAATGAGCATCTTTCTGTAAGAATATTACTTCCTGTCTCAGTCCTGATTGGTGAAATAAGTTGGATAAAGATGAATGTGATTAATAGACACATAACCATTCAAGGGATACAAGTATGAGGGAAAGGGAATAAATTTCGCCCCTTGGAATAGCTAAATTAGAAAGATAATTAGATAGGTGATAGAGAAAATAGGTGAGATAATGGACGTTTACTTAGAGGAGCCACCAATCTCCATTTAGTTCAGCCAAGACTTCTCAGATGTGTTTAATGCCATAGGGGCTTTGTACTATGTCATCTTGACCAAGCTGGAACCATGTTACCCAGACTTCCCTTCCCTCTGTGGTTGCTGGCTAGGCTGGCCACAAAATATAGTTTTGTGATGCCAGAAGGCAGAAATGAAGCAGCAACCATTCTCTGAAGGTCAGCGTAGAGAATCTGGTACTGCTGCAGCTCATGCTCCTTACCATTGATTGCAGGTTCACCTCATTGGCTTGGAGCATCATCTGCTGTTTAAATCCCTTCCTTCTCTTTCTCCAAGTCCTAGACTAGGTACATTGTGCAGCTCTATGGTAAATGGTACCAGCTCCTTTTGAAAATCACCGGCATTGTCAAGGTTTGAAATAATGAAGGACAGAAATAGACTCTAGGCTGTCCTTGTGTATTCCAGTCCATCCTGGCTCCTGTTTAATTCTTACTTTCTGTCAATTCACATCCATATTTTCTTCCTGGCTGTTAGCCCTGCTGACCTAAGGTCTCATACCTATAATAAACCTTATATCATTCATAGTATTTCTGCCTCTTTAATCAATCCTAAGAAGCTTGATACATTGTACTTCTCTACATACCCACTCCTACCAATCAAAGACAGGAAGGAAAATCTATAGTCAGTACTACTCTATAAACCTTTTTAGTGGAGGCACAAATTCACTTTCTCTCTTTAATGATTCCATATGTTATCTTGCCCAATCATTCTGGCAGTAAGAATGACATCTATCCACAGTGCTGGGATAGCTTGCTTCTAAAGGCTGCTTTCTCCTCTCAGATTCAGTGTTCCATAGAAATGGGATTATTTATAAATCTTTTATGATTATTCTCTTGAAGAGTTGAAGAACCAGAGAAATTGCCTCATTGTTGGGCTACCACTTGAGAATAAACCATTTTTAGATTGCCTCATTACAGACTATACATTTCCCTCATCTTTCTACACTGGAGCCTGTACTGCACTTATGTCTCCTCACTCCTAATTTGACCTATCTCCTGCTGCTCAGATGTGTTCAAGCATGACAACCTCCACAGTCTCTAAAGCATAATTGCATGGGCAGATGTTGCGGATTGAGGCTGCTGCTTCCCTTTTTCACTCTTATGAACCTAAATACTTTGGTAATCAGCCAAACGAGTCAATCATGCTCTTTATTTAGGTGCCCTTCGCCTTGAACAATGGTGAGGAGGCTAGTTTATGTGATGAACCACATACTGAATAGGCAAAAGCTGGAAGCATTTCCCTTGAAAACT